CCTCGCATTCGTTTTGGCAAAGGAGATGAAGAGAAAGCGGGTTGGTTGCAGCTGCCAAGTGAAGTGTTGTCAGGGAGTGGGTCTTTTCTATGGATTCCAGCCCTGCGTTGGCAGACTTGGGATGAAACCAGCTGAAAACTTCAGCTTGTCATCCTGTACCGACCGCCTTGTCACTAGTGTGAACGTTCAGTAACAAAATCTGTCAAGCCAGAATGGTGGTGTTTTCTGGCGTTTAAAAGGAGCTTGGTAAAACATTTACCATGTAACCTGCAAATTACTTGCCATGTTATGTATTTTATTACTCAGCGGAACCTACAAATAAGTTACTGCTTTTGAGCCCTTCTGTTGAGTGTCTGGGTTGCCCGTAGCCGCCATTCTTACATGCAGTCGTGCCCCTCCTTGTCCATCGGAGCCCACGGTTTGTAACGTTTACAGCACTTTCAGCAGATTTTGCACTTGGTTTTAGCACTGGAAAAAAATAATCAGGCTTTCTAGGAGTTTCATAGGAACAGTTCAACAGATGTATCTATCCAGAACCCTTTAATCAAGGCTCCCACTGGATTTTCTCATCTGAGGGTATCGTCAGGATGCTGGTTATTACGTGACCTCCCTGGTTAGGTAGTGCTCTCCACTATGTCAGCTTATGGCCAGGCGCTCTAATTTTGTGCTTAGATTCCAGATATTGATCCCGGAGGATTGGGCAATTGCTTTTTTACTGCGTTTTATTTGGCTGCGACGGCAGAAGCAACTTTTCATGGCGCTGCTGGCCAGAAGAACCTGATGAGGTGCATACTCGCCAGCAGTGAAATCTGTAGGGACGAGATAGCTAACGATTGGTGCGTTACCGCAGCGAAGCGCGGGTCTGACGCTGCCGGGGTATTAGCATATCACTCAACTAAAAATAAGTCCTTTATAGGTTGCAGAGTACTTACAGTGCTTGTAGAAAACAAGAGCTGCTTTTGATTCTGGAGTAGCATTCAGCACGTTGAACCCGTGAGCTGAAATCCCTCTTGAAAAATAAATAGGAATTATGTTTAATAGGAGGCAGTAAACCAGGTTTGGACATATTTTGAACATTTCGTTTCATGTTGTCTGAAAATGATGTCCATCATTGCTTAATTAGGCAGATAAATGTGAAAGATTTAACAGACGGCAACAGAGATGATCCTTTGGTTTCAGGCTCTTGTTTGGATCATCAGGAATGAAAATTATTGTTTCATCACTGCAAATTTGGGGTACTTTTCCCCACTGCCTGCCATCAAGGGAAGTCACCTTGTCTGGTGATTCTTGTAATGACTAGTTGTAATTATAAGTGATTTCATTTTGATATCTTTAATAATAAACTGAAGAAATAGATTTAAAGAATAAGAGGGTAGGGTTTTTTACTGATCAGTGTCATGAAGCTGGTTAATGTTGGTTTACAGTAGAATTTGTAGTTATGTTTGGCACTTATTTTTGTTTGACACTTATTTTTGTGTGACTAGAATAGGGCCTGACGACTAGGAATTTAGTCTGATCATGCAGCATTGCGATTTTGAGCAGAGTTTGCTGTAGATGGGACTTAAAGTTACACAAATTGCTGCCGGAGCCCTGAAGCAGATGACACGTTGTCATGGTAAGAGGATAGAGGTACCTCCTCTCACTGCCTAGGTAGGAAGGGGTATTCTCAGTTTGCTCTGAGTCACTGTTCAATTTGAGATCTAATGCCTAGACCTCATTTAGGGCATTTCATCAGTGGAAACAAAGCGCACCGATGGAGAACGCGTCCCATTTTTGCTTCTTTGCAGGTGGGAATGTAGTGATGGAGAGACACAAATGATTCACCCTGGATAGGACAATAGAACAGTGGGGGTCTGGGCATTCATTGGGATCTTCTTAGACCTGGATTAACACCCTGGCATTTAAATTGCATTCTGTTTCCTATCCTTTCCTTAATTTTGACTTGAATGTGTCTCAGTCTTGCTGTCATGTTCCTACACAGACAACCTTTCTCGCCTGTTTGCTGTGCTCTGCCAGGTTCAGTTATGAAGGAGGAAAGACAGACCACTTTGCTCTGCTGTGCTGCCCTTCTTAGTTGCAGGTGCCAAAGGTTCTCCTCTTATGTATATATATACATATATGCTAAAATGCACAAAGGAAGAAGCAACCAATTTTGCAACCTAGGCTTGACATGCTACGGTTTTTATCTGCCTGCAAAATAAATGCTTTTTCTGGTTTTCAGAGCTGAGGTTGGACTGTGGTTTAAATCGGCACTGACTGCAGTCACAGCTGAGACTCTTGGCCTACGGGTTTTCTTTCGTACGCCTTACGAACTTCAACCCTACGGCCAGCCCATGTTCTCCGCTGAGGAGCCCCTCTTTGGCACTGCGTAACACTGACAAAAAGAGGCTTCACCTGGGTTTTGGAAACCCCTCTCCTCGTGCAGCTGAGAGGAGAGTTGCTCTGAATGGCTTGGCCATGGCTCCACACCATTCGTTCATCCTTACCATGGGTGGTTACTCAACCATGATACAATGACTGTATTCTACAAGCAGTCTCAGCTATAATTCCTTGGCTGAAGGGAAGATCTCTTGTGTTTGATTAAAGCTGGTGGCCATCTTTTAAAAAATAAAAATAAAGGCTGCCGTGAGGAGGATAATTTCCTGAACAAGGCAGTGCAGTACAGATAGCTACTGAAATATGGGAAAAGGAAAAAGAAAGATTTTGCCTTGATCATTGGAAGCAATCAATTTAACATGATTAATGTAAATTGTTGTAAGTGGGGAGAGATATAGAACAGCAGGGCACTTCATGTTTAAAGTAATCTTTTGATTAAAGTTTCCTAGACTGTAAAACTGTAATTGGGGAGGGGAAGCTATCCATAGATTAGAAGCTAAACAATCTAGTCTTGAGCATACTGGAATATGAGATAATAGTAATTAGGTGTAGAACAAAAGAATTTCTGTGGAGCTGAGAGTAAAAGAATTACTGAGTTGACAAGCCTGATGCTTTCCTCCCCTGTTCCTCAAGACTAAAAATTACACTTTTAATGGAACGTTCCTACGTCCACTGCGTCACTCTGGTATGGATAAATGTGTCAACCTCAGTGCCACTGTCATGTTGGGAGGATTTCTGCTTTCTAGCCTTTCACTTCGCTGATAAAAGCTGGATATTGTTTTGGAGTCTGTCAATCTAATATTCTTGTAACAGCAGCAGAATAATTTGAAGAAACACAAAATGATGGATAATGATGAAATGGAGTAAAGAGACACTGGAAAACTTTGCTAGGCAGCTGGCACGCTATGTGAAAATAAGCTTGTGTTTTTAATGTGACTGCAAGTTAGAGGCCTTGGTAGGAAAATTCATTTGCTCTTTCTTATGCTGAGTGTAACCAAGTAAACAGTGACTCTGAGTTATGTTAGAAAGGCTGTTTGGTGTGTAACTGTAGGTTTTCCAGCACTTGATCCTTGAGATGTTTTCAGAAGGCGTTTCACAGGGTCACTCAGGTTGGCAGGGACCCCTGGAGATTGTCTAGTCCAGCCCCCCATGCTCATGGTAGAGTCAGCTGTAGCAGTTTGCCCAGGACCACATCCAGTCTGATTCTGAGTATCTCCAAGGACGGAGACTCCACAACCTCTCGGGGCAGCTTGTTCCCATGTTCCACCACCCTTACCATAAAAAACTGTTTCTAATGTTTAAAAGAAATTTCCTGTATTTCAATTTCTTCCCAATGTCCCTGTGCACTGAGCAGTCTGGCTCCGTCTTCTTTGCACTCCCCCCATCAGGTATTTATATCTCCTGAGGTCCCCTCAGGCCTTCTCTTCTCCAGACGGAGCAGTCCCACTCTGTCTCTCCTTGTGTGACAGATGCTCCAATTCATTGTTCATCGTTGTGGCAGGTCCCTGTCTCTCCAGTCCTGGGGCGCCTGGAACTGGGCACAGCACTCCAGATGTGTCTCCTCAGCCCTTCCCTGACCTGCTACCCGTGCTGGGATGGTAGCGGCCACAGCCCAGGATGCTGGTAGTCTTCTGTGGTGGCCCATGGTCAGCTGGGTGCCATCAGGATCCCAAGGTCTTCCTCTGCAAAGCTGCTTGCCACCCAGCCGGCGCCCAGCAGGTACTGATGGATGGCGTCACTCGTCGGCAAGGCTTTGCATGTCCCCTTCTTGAACCTCACGACGTCCCTCTCCGTCCAATTCTGTGGCCTCTCAAGGTCCTTCTCAGTGGCAGCACAGCTCTCTGGTGCATCAGCCACTCCTCTCAGTTCTGTGTCACTAGCAACTCTGCCCCTTCGTCCAGGTCACTGGTGACGGGATTAAACAGTATTGGCCTCAGTATCAACCCCTTGAATACTCCACCAGGACTTTGTGCCACTGATCACAACGCCCCGAGCCCAGCATTTCGGCTGGTTCAGGCCACCTCACTGTCCATTTATCTAGTCCACACTTAATCTGTTTGTCTTGGAGCTCGGAAGTGAACCCTTAGCAAATACTCTGCTTTTTAGTCTTTTTTTTTTTATTATTCTAAAGGACTAAGGTTTATGCAGTGATTCCATCCATCTGTCCTCTTCCCTCATCCCAGCCTCCCCCTCCGTCCCCACAGCTTTGGAACACGCATCAGTTTCCATCAGGTTTGACAGAGCAGCAGAGTCTGTACATCCAGATCCCGTAACTGTCACAAAAACTGTCAGCAGCAGTGAAGAGAGGATGGTTTGGGAGGGAGCTACCAGGAGAGCTCCTGTGAGAGCTTAGCCGTGACCCGCTCCGGGTGGGATACCCTCAGGCTCGTGAGGGCGCCTGCGGCTCGGAGCGGACCACGCTCTTGGCCTTCAACTGGGCTTGTGGCAACCCAAGAGGCTGCGGGATGGGGAGGGAACTGCAGCTCTTGCTGAGGGGGAGGAGGCTGAGAAGAGCATCAAGGAAAAGCTGTACTGGGGGGGTGGAGGAGAGGAGTAATGATAGTCTGCAAATCCGTAGGCAGTCAGATTTTGCCATCTTTGCTTGCTGAATGTGTCTTTTAAAGCCCTTTCTTGATCGTGCTAGATATTCCCTAGCGACAGGGATAAAACCGTGTGGGTTGCGAATAGACTCTGGCATGCCAGGTGAGGCTTTCTTCTGGTAAGGAGAACCACCCGCCCGCTATTCAGGTGCCGCAGGGAGTCCCGTTACTTCGTACTCGACACGAGATCTGCATATTTTTACTTGCATTTGTCTTTTTTCCTTGTCTCTATTTAGCCACATTTGAAATAATTAGTAGCCAGACTACTGTATACATCAATTTTAGGGGATTTTTGCACAACTCTCGTTTTTTTTCATTTTCAGCACTGCTGGCTCTTACTCCAGCAGTAGAAAGACACATGCTACTAAGGTTGCTTAAGAAGTAATTAAGGGCAAGGCTTGGAAGCTACTGCTTCTTCATCTTGCCTTGCTAATTCTCAAGGTTTACAGAAAGAGTGGCATGGTAAAACCCATTGTAGTGAAAAAGAGAGTTCCCAGGAGGTTGCTGTGGGATCCAGGGGTACGGCAGGGAGGAGTCTGAGGCGACACAGCTAATTCTGTACCCACAGAAACAGTAAGAAGGTAATGCTTTCAAAACTCATTAGGGTAGGAAAGGTTTTGCCAAACGTGGTGATTGCTGCGGTACTTCAGGAATCCTTTGTTGGGTTTCCTGGTGCTTCATCCCCAGATGCAGTATGCCAGGAGATTTCAGGACAGCTCTGCAGACAGTTCTTTCTATGGGATGATTCAATTAATCTTTACAAAAGAAATGCATAAAGGCATAGCTAAGCTATAACTTGAGCTCTTTGCTATCTTTTTCTCTTCTGAAGGGGCTGATTTCTTCGTGGTGTCGTTTGTTTTACCAGGGATATCAGCTGGTTGTCCCAGAGCTCCTAACACTGACACATCGTACTTAGGAGCAATTGCGTTGCGGCATCGTCGTTACAGATGGGTGCTGTAAGACTTGCAGCATTCCGGGCTGGAGTGCTGACCTCACCTTTCCTTTCAGCGCTGCCCTTGGCACAGCAAATGCAGCGGATTCCTCCAGCCGGGAGAGTCATCTCCATTCCTTTGACCCATTCCGTGTGCGTTCTCTCCCGCTGCTCTTCCAGAGAGACTCACAAGAGAGCTATAAATAGATCTGAGCCTCCAGGAACTCCTCGGGGTTTTGATTTGAGATCTGGGTCCAAGAATTTAGGACGCAAATTAATGTTTTCATCTTCACCTTGTTTAGCGCTGGACTTTGTCAGCAACTCGGTGGATGCAGTTGGCTCTTAGCTCAAGGAAGGGTAGGCAACAGCAAGGCTGTTTAGGACTTTTCAAGACAGGGATATCTTTAGAGCTGATGAGGGGCAGCATGCCCAGATCTTTCATTGTGTTAGCTTCAGGCTGGCTTGCTCAGGCCCTCATTTTTCAGGGTGATTGCACTGTAGAATATTCGAGCTGATGTGTTGCATAAGTCAGCGTAGTCTCTTCCTTGCCGTGCTGTTATTCTTACTTATGTTTGAGTTCCTCATGGACTGGGATTTGTCTTTGTCTGTTGTCTAGTATGAGGTTTTCCACTTAACCTCATTCCCTGGTCTAAATGGATAGCCCTGCACCAGCCCTTGACGTCCTAACATCTGTCTTCCTAATAGGAAGTAGCTGGTTCTGAACATTTTCTTCAAGAACACTGCTTTTTATTTCTGAGAGAACAAAACCTTGACGTGGGGAAAGCAGGAGGGTCTTGTTAACCTCCTTCCAGTAAAATCAGAAACTCTCCTTTATTCCTGGATACTGAAGCAAAGATCTATTGCCTGATTTCTTCTAAAGGGGGTTAGGAAACACTGAAGATTTGTTCTAATTAAATGCCCCACGGTGCATCTGACGAACTGAAGTACATATCCACCTTCGGCCAGGCAGACCTGTCGTCTCGGTGTAAGCAGACTTTTTGTTTCCCCTTATTTGTAACGAATCCCACAGCGCTCGTAGCTGACCCAGAACTCGCAGCCGCGCTTTCCTGACGTACGCTGCCGCCGCTCAGATGTGAGCTGCTCCGCACGCTGATCCGACGTCCTGGACGACGGGGACGCGCGCTCGTCGCTGCGACGCCTGAAGGCGCCAGCGGGGCGATAGCCGGTGCTGGGCGCATCGTGGCCTTTGCCTTCCCTGTCCTTCAGGATCGCTGGATTTGGAGGGCTAGTGAAGGAATTGTCGCTAGAGCCCCAGCATCTTCATTGGCCCGCAATTCTCTTCAGCTCACAGGTCCCCAGCCGGTGCAAGTGCCTGCGGAGGCCACGCTGACAGTTTATGAGTTGCTGAGTGGGAGAAGGAGCTCCTCGAGGGAAGAACGGGATCCGTTGTGTGAGAGGCTAACCTCAGCTCTTCCAGCTTTTGCCAAACTGGAAAAGAATTTAGCCCTAAAAGGATTTCAATCTTGATGTGTTTGTTTTGGAAGCTGTTTGATTTTTGCTGTGGGGTTTTTATTACTCTTTGATTACAGCTTAACCGTCTTGTTAAGGACAACAGTACCGTCCCAGTCCAAAACCATCTTTTCCTACGAGTTCGCCCTCTGAGTCATTGCTTTTCTTTATCTCCACACTTACTGCAGTCAATCCTTCCTCTGCACACCCAACCGCCCCGTTTGGGGTTTGTTGTTCTCACTCAAGTTGTGGCAGCCCCAACAGAATACTTTTTTTTTTTTTTCCCCTGCAGTATTCTTGCATTTCGAGAGCTGCGCTGGAGTTTTCTTGGATTGTCTCCCCGTTTTATATTCCGTGTCCTTGTTAGAGCCTTTGAAGCCTTTTCCCCAGTGAGCACAAAGTACATTTGCAAATGAGCAACTGAGCAACAGCACAGCTACTAATTTTGCTAACAGATGTAAATAGGAAAAACATTACTTTTCTAATGCTGAAAGTATTTATAGAAACCATTATCCATCTTTCATAACACTTTGATTATGGATGGAGCCTCTTTCAGGTTCAGGGGAGTTGATTAAGCTCTTGCAGATGGTTTGACTGGCTGAGGTAATGATACGAATGTGGAAGAAATGCAGATGTTTGAAAGCCTTTGTTTTAGGTGCTTTAGGCAAAGAAGTGACTTAAGAAAAAAGCTTTTCCCTTGCATTCCTCAGAAAAATGCATGGCTTTGGAGTGGAAACCTACAGCAGGTTGCTGAGTGCAAGCAAGGAGTCTGAGCTCCGGTGTGCCTCACCTGCCAGACCCGTCGCTCTGAACATTGACTTGCGCAGAGGGTGACCAGCAGAAGAACCCTCTCGCCAGAGCCAGGCAGCTCCGATTTCCTCTGCGCTTGTAATTTACCCATTACGATCTCAGATCCCGGGGACATATCCTCTCTTGGGAACGAGCGGCGTCCTCGTGGGTGGAAGTGCGTTTGCAGCACAGGGGAGGTTAACAGCAGTGTAATCGGGATGACTCAGGTAATTTTCCGGAAGGGCGCGCTTTTTCCCACAACTGCATCGACGAGATGGTCCCTGTGCCCGGCACCAGCCTGGGGCTGACCCCGGCAGCGTTGGAGAAGCGAGGAGACAGGTGCCTGACACGGGGCGTCGAGTGGCAGAGCAGTCTCCCTGCTTTAACTCCCAGGAGGTTTTCATTGTTTTCAGCGACTTGGGCAGAGTCATAAATGGTCATAAGAAAATGGGGCATGGCCAGGGCAAAGCTCGAGTCATAGAACCATAGAATCACGGAATGGTTTGGGTTGGAAGGGACCTTAAAGCCCATCCAGTTCCAACCCCCTGCCATGGGCAGGGACACCTTCCACTAGACCAGGTTGCTCCAAGCCTCATCCAGCCTGGCCTTGGACCCTTCCAGGGATGGGGCATCCACAGCTTCTCTGGGCAACTTGTCCCAGTGCCTCCCCACCCTCTCCAGGAAGAATTTCTTCCTGATATCCAATCTAAACCTCCCCACTTTCAATTTAAACCCGTTACCCCTTGTCCTGTCACTACAGGCCCTCGTAAAAAGTCCCCCCCAGCTTCCTTGTAGCCCCTTCAGGCACTGGAAGGTGCTATAAGGTCTCCCCGGAGCCTTCTCTTCTCCAGGCTGAACACCCCCAACTCTCCCAGCCTGTCCCCGTAGGACAGTCGTTGGGCACTGTGGCTCTGTGAGCAGAGGGCTCTCAGAAGTCTCTGCCCTCTGCCTCCAGCCAAGCTGCTCCGTAAAGCAAAGGGCAGATTTGCCAAGTGTCAGGACCTGAATCACATTTGATCCAGGGAACGTTTTTCTTTGGGAAGCTGCTTTGCCCTCATAGCTGGCTTGGTTCCCTTTCCTTTGCAGAGTGGGAGTTGGATGTAGTTATCCCTGCCTACCCTGCAGCTTGCACACACTGCCTCCTAATCCAGAGCCCTTTCCTCTTCTGATAACTTCAGAGAGTGCTTTTTCCCCCTGTATCTATCCAGTAACGACTGGCAAACAACCAAAAGTTTGTGGAAGTGCGAGGGAAACCGTTCCTACTTAAGCTCTGAGAAGCTCAGACGGATGTGCTGCTCCATGGTCGGAGTGCTAACGCTTCCCTCTCTGCAACACGCCGTCGACTTCTCCCCAGAGCAGCGTCCTGGCAGGCAGGTCACTACTTTTCCCATCAGTTCTGTAACCTACTTACATCACAGGATCATGGAATGGTTTGGGTTGGAAGGGACCTTAAAGCCCATCCAGTTCCATCCCCCTGCCGTGGGCAGGGACACCTTCCACTAGACATGTACAGAAACCTTTCACAACAAGGTCCAAAACTTACTGTTTCTCCCCCACAATGCTGCTTTTTTCCAAATAGTCCCAGTAGAAACAGCAGTGGTGCTTTTTGGGTTTGGAGTTGTCTTCCCCCCCTGCAGTAAGAATTTAGATCTACGAAAGCGTTTTTGTCATCATTTTGCAAAATCAGAATTGCTCGGTGTCTAGACGTGGCGTTTAACGTCGGGAGTAGAGACGAGGGGCCGTGAACATCCGTGCAGTTCCGACAGGCACGGGAGCCCGTGGGAGATACCTGTGGGGGGTTTTTCACACCCTCCCCACTCTTCTCTTTCTTCATGGAACTCAATATTAATTACAGAGCTTGGAAAATTCTTGAGGTGGTGCAGAGGCTGAGGCAAGTAAAACAACGGCAGGGAAGTGATGGCAAGGCAGGAACGTGAAGTGGGAAAACGCCTCATGCTTGGGATTTTTGTATTCCTCAAAGGTTTCATTCAACCCCTCTTGAAATGGGAGTGGGTGTGTGGGGGCTGAGGGGTGTGAACACTCATTATTTCCCGCAAGACGGAAAGAAAAGGTCGTGTTAAATACGATTCCCGAGGCTAATGGGTAAATCTACCTGGGTATTATATCCTCCTCCCAAAGCTCTGGCTGGAGCTGAGTAATGCCGCGTTCCCAGTGCGGAGAAGACCCCTTACTGCACCGCACTTTGAGTGAGGTCCCGTTTGGAATTTAACCTTTGGCTTAATGGTGTTCTGTTAAAATAGTGCTTTTTAACGAACATAATGTCCTTGTTCTCTCTAACACAAAGGAGGGGAGGGCAGAAGCAATTGAGTATTTTTGCAGTTTTAAAATTTTGTCTCTATTTGAATTTTACAAAATAGTTAAAGGATGTGAAGGTGGATCCGGGTTTGTGCCAGCATCCGTGTCGCGGTAGTCACAGCTGCGGGACAGGCACGGTCTGCTGCGCATGTTCATGCAGGGAATGGCCAGTGTGGTCTTCAGCCTTGTGAACGCAGCCCCTGGGGAGCGGGGAACAGTCTCCGGTCTTGAACGCACTTGACGGCAGAAGCTGAGGTCAGTATTGTCAGTAGGAAGAACTGACTTTCTCCTACGGGGACAGGCTGGGAGAGTTGGGCTTGTTCAGCCTGGAGAAGAGAAGGCTCTGGGGAGACCTTATTGCAGCCTTCCAGTACCTGAAGGGGCTACAAGGAAGCTGGGGGGGACTTTTTACAAGGGCCTGTAGTGACAGGACAAGGGGTAATGGGTTTAAATT